GATTCGAACCTGCCACCTTAGGTGTATGTGGCTGGCGCCTTAGCCACTTGAGCCACAGGCGCTGAGCCCATAAGCCCTCACCTTAATGCTGGTGACAAGGCCCTGCCAGTCCCATACCTGCTGGGATTTTTCCCTGGGACTAGCCCATCTGCTCCAACTCTTCCTTTCTTTCCTTAATGTCTCACCCTCAATGAAATGGCAAAACCCCAACCTATAACAGCACAGGGCAAAAGGGGAGGGCCAAGGGCTGCTGTTAATTCAAGACACAGTCAAGAGCCCAGCACACATTAGCAGATGAATCTGAAATCCTCCTGTGGCCCTTCCTCTTCACACTATTGCTTGGCCCTGGGAAATTCCAGCCAATTAAACAAAAAAGACCTATATTCTCAGTGAAGTTCTTGAGAACAAGTATAAAACCAGAAGCCTGAGTTACTCCCCTAAGTAACAACTAATTCCCAAGATGCACTAAAATAAAGCCCCACTTAGGGGCCCCCTCCCTTGTCAATTCTTAGCAGATGTCCGAGGGAAGAGCCATCTCCACACCTATCTTTTGGGGGCCCTAGAGCCAGTGTTAGAACAGTGAGAGCTACAAGCTGAGCTGTCCCCATTCCCTGGGACTCTCTGCAGAGAAAAGAGCTGGGAAGGAAGGGGGAAGAGTTAGACTATAACCATGATTACCTCACCCAGAGAGATGTGGAAGGAGCATCTATTTCTGGACACATAGTCTTTTGGGAAGTGCTCCTTAAGGCTGAGGGTGTGAGAAGTCCAACACAGAGAGCCCAGCCAGCACATGTACTCACCCTACTGAGTATGGCAGGGAAACGCCCAGGGCATTAAAGGAGATCTGAGAAATTACCCTGCAAAACACTGTGCCTGTGACCACCACCCTGTAGACATTCCAGCGAAGCATTTAGAACATACTACCACTACACTTGTCAAACACTGACATTTAAAACCAAGCAAATGACTCTACAGCATCTCCTAAACCCACATCTTTATGTGCATCTAACATAAAGGGTCTCAACATCCCAGTCGGTAGAAATTGAACTTATTTATCATTAGAACATTTATTTTAAACACAGACTGCACATTTGTTCTTAAAATAGACCTTTTGTAAAACACACTAGGCAATAAAAGAACTTCTTAAATGTTTATAAACAAAAAAGTAGAATACAAACCCTGTTGCTGAACTGCACATTTCAGGACTGTACAACTGTTTTTAAGAAGGTACAAGATGCTACTGATGTAGTGCTTGGTATGTTTTAAACACGAATCTTGAATGGAACAAGCTAGTTTTCTATTTGTGTATACAGAGCAGAAAAGACTCTAAGTTTGTAAACATCACTAATGTCTCCAAAGCTCCAAAAGGTAGTAACTCCAGTGGGTAAATAGGGCTCCAGAGCCCTCTCACCTCCTCTCACCCTTTCAGAGGGCTGGAGGTGCCTCAGGCCCTTGAAGGAGCCAGCAGTGCCTGAGCTTCACTGGGGAAGCTACCAAGCTCCAGAGAACTGAGCAACAGGGCAGCCCCCTCCCAGGAGGACAGATGTGGCTGCCACGTACTGAGCACTCCTGTCAGAATTATGCCTTACAGAAATCCACCCATATTAAGAGCATAATCCATTTCTATTTATGCAAGTTTGTTTCCCATGTGCAAGGGTCATGCCCAACAGAAATCCACCCAT